TAATGAATAAATTGTATTGAGTTAGAGTGCTTAGAGAGACTTTTTGAACCTTTTGGACTTTACTGAACTTTTTTTTGGAGATGAATCGTCCAAATCTGAAGGCCAGACAACAAAATAAGAGCTGAAATTTCAAAGATGTCTGTAAACGATCAAATCTAATCATTCGGATCTTATTATTTAATTTATAGACTTTTTAAAGCTTCAAAATCATTGGTTCAATGAAGATCGAATTCGTTTTTAGTTTTTACAAGATTTCTAGGTCTCGGACTCTTTAAAAGGCCGTCAGACGCTCGCCGACGAGTTGCCTTGATGGTCTAGTGGTTAGTCTCTCAGATTGCCAAACCAATTACATCTGGAGGCCTCAAGTTCGACTCCCACTCGAACCAAACTTTTTGCTTTCGCCAAAAACGTCGCTTTAAACCTTTTCCTGCTTATAAGAGTTGAATTTATGCACCTTCAGAAATGCTGTGGCTGTTAGAAACAGCTGTGGCTGCTAGAAATCTGGTTTCAGAAATGTTGCTGTTGCTAACAATGTTGCTAACAGAAATGTTGAATTTTATGGACCTATAGCACTCGAAATGTTCAATTTTTCTTACTTATTGATTACTTTTCTTTTCTTTTTCTTACTTCTGATACTTTAGAAAGTTCTAGCTTTTGTAAATTATTTGTTAAAGTTATAGAAAGCTGTGGATCTTCAATAAATCAGTGTCGAGTCAATGATTCAATGGAAATATGTAAGGAAACAGATTTTTAAAAGCAAAAGGAAAGTTTGACGAGTTTGACGAGAGTGGGATTCGAACTTGAGGACAAAGAAGGACAGGTTGAGGACAGGTTGATAGTCTAGTTATAATCTAGGAGAGTCTAGGAGGTTGAGAAGTCTAGTCATAGTCTAGGATAGTCTAGTCATAGTCTAGGAGAGTCTAGGAGGTTGAGGAGTCTATTCATAGTCTAGGATAGTCTAGTCATAGTCTAGGAGAGTCTAGGAGGTTGAGGAGTCTAGTCATAGTCTAGGAGAGTCTAGTCATAGTCTAGGAGAGTCTAGTCATAGTCTAGGAGAATCTAGGAGGTTGAGGAGTCTAGTCATAGTCTAGGAGAGTCTAGGAGGTTGAGGAGTCTAGTCATAGTCTAGGAGAATCTAGGAGGTTGAGGAGTCTAGTCATAGTCTAGGAGAGTCTAGGAGACTATCCACTACACGGAAGACACGGAAGCATTTCTTTTGAGCTTTTAACGGTGATTAAGTAGATAAGAAGCTCGAGATTTAAGAAGATTTTCTTGTAAATTTAGAGAAAAAATTTTCAAAAGATTGTCCAGTTTTAGTAAAAAGTTAGAAAAAAAAGAGAAAAACGGGAAAACAGAGCAAAAGAAAAAAAACGTCCGAATCAAGCTTATTAAACACTCAGATTTTTGCTTATGCAGAGTGTAGATGGACGGGGAGATGGGGAGGATGGTGGTTGTGGATGTGAAGGGGGGGGATTGCATTGTGCCCCCCCCCCTTCTTTTCTTTTGCCCCTCTTTTTCTCCGCATTCATCCCTCTCCTTTGGGCCAATCATTACCAAGCATTGTTTCTTTTCAATCCACCGCTCCATTCGTCTCTATTCGTCTCTATTCACTCTTTTGTATTCGTTTTCAAAAGGGGTTTTCCATCCATCCATTTCCATTCTATCCATTGCTTGCGGCTGTATGAAAAGAAAGCTTTTCAAAAGTCTTTCCTTTCTCTCTATGATTTCCTTTTTTTCGATTTCCCTAAGCTCAATAGATTTTCTGATAGCTGAATACTCTAATCTAAACATACTACAAACTACAAATGTAAACTACAAAGTGAACTACAATGTAGACTACAAAGTAAACTACCAAATAAAATACAATGTAAACTATAAACTAAACTATAAACTAAACTATAAAGTAAACTATGAACTCTAAACTATAAAGTAAACTACAAAGTAAACTACAAAGTAAACTACAAAGTAAACTACAAAGTAAACTACAAAGTAAACTACAAAGTGAACTACAAAGTGAACTACAAAGTGAACTACAAACGAAACTACAAACTTAAACTTCAAACACAAACTTCAAACGCTTCTAACTTGCTTTAAATCTATGGTATTGTCATGATCTATAGCTCAAAAAATAGACAATTTCAAGAGCTTTTGAATGGACTAAAGCACAGCCAAAAGCATCAATTCTAAAGAAAGTTACAGTTACTAAAGAAAGTGGTTTGTAACAACCTCGATAGCTTTGACCACGTACTGACTATCAGTCACTATAACTTTCTCTGGCATTGATATTTTTGAGTGTGCTTTAGTCCATTCAAAAGCTCTTGAAATCCTCTATTTTTTGAGCTATAAATCATATCAATCCGACCAATTTAAAGAAAGTTATGACCATTTGTAGTGTGACAATTCATCATAAAGCAAATTAGAAGCGTTTGTAGTGTGACAATTCATTATTTTGTTAGTTGATAGTGCTCATGTCTACTCGAATCTAACCCAATCTATCACTTTACTTCAGTTTTCTTTAGTCTTTACCGATACTACTCGAGCTCAAGCTACTCGAGCTCAAGCTACTCGAGCTCAAGCTACTCGAGCTCAAGCTACTCGAGCTCAAGCTACTCGAGCTCAAGCTACTCGAGCTCAAGCTACTCGAGCTCAAGCTACTCGAGCTCAAAGCTACTCGAGCTCAAAGCTACTCGAGCTCAAAGCTACTCGAGCTCAAAGCTACTCGAGCTCAAAGCTACTCGAGCTCAAAGCTACTCGAGCTCAAAGCTACTCGAGCTCAAAGCTACTCGAGCTCAAAGCTACTCGAGCTCAAAGCTACTCGAGCTCAAAGCTACTCGAGCTCAAAGCTACTCGAGCTCAAAGCTACTCGAGCTCAAAGCTACTCGAGCTCAAAGCTACTCGAGCTCAAAGCTACTCGAGCTCAAAGCTACTGCTAAACGAACTTTGACACGTTTACAGACAACCGCTAGACTTATTTCTTCTTTTCCCAACTTTAGTCCCATCAAATTCTTTGATTCCAAGATTTTCTGTCTTCAACTTTCTCTATTACTTTCTCCATTCTTCCTCCATTTCTTTCTCTATTCCTTTCTCCATTCCTTTCCATTTCTTTCTCTTATCCTCCCAGTGAATGCCCCCATTGATGGGCTGTGAAGCGAAAAGGGAAATATGATTTGAAAAGAGATTCTGAAGACACAGAATAGGTTCATGAAATGCCTAATAAGTCGTATAGTTTAGTTCTGGAGTTTGTGTTCGATATTTAATCAAAAACGCATTTTTCTAGTGCACTAAATTCAGCAGAAATTCAGTAGAAATAAACGCAAAATTGTCAGTAGAATGGGCGCGATTGGCCACAAGAAAAATGAGTGCTTTGTGGTTTGAATAATTCTTTACGTTGTACTTTGTTAAGTTGTACTTTGTTAAGCTGTACTTTGATAAGTTGTACTTTGCTAAGCTGTACTTTGTTAAGCTGTACTTTGCTAAGTTGTACTTTGTTAAGCTGTACTTTGATAAGTTGTACTTTGTTAAGCTGTACTTTGTTAAGCTGTACTTTGTTAAGTTGTACTTTGCTAAGCTGTACTTTGCTAAGTGGTACTTTGCTAAGCTGTACTTTGCTAAGTTGTACTTTGTTAAGCTGTACTTTGTTAAGCTGTACTTTGCTAAGTTGTACTTTGTGCTTAAAATCGAAACGGATTTGGTGGACTGAAGTGCCTTATTGTAGTTGCTTGTCGTTGCTTGAAGTTGCTTGAAGGGAAATGAAAGGAGCTGAGTGCAACTATTGATTAAAAAAATGTTTTTCCGTGCACTAAATTTCAAATTTCGAAATTTTCAGCCAATTTCAATTCTGAATTCTTAAGCTTTAAGATTTATTCAATTACATTAATTGTATTGATTTAATGAATAAATTGTATTGAGTTAGAGTTAGAGATCGAAAGAAATTACAGAATTTCGAGAAGTTACAAGCATTCAATTCATTCAATTCATTCAATTCTTACAAGAATTCAATTCTTACAAGCATTCAATTCTTGCAAGCATTCAATTCATAAATACAATTCACAAATACAATAAATTCAATTGGGGAAAATCACAAACTCGATAAAAACTCAATAAAAAGTTTTTTGCCGTAAATTTTGGCGGAATTCGACTAAATGCACATTGACATAGTAAGGAAAAGAAAAAAAAAAGATGAAGAGAGAAAGAGAGCCACCAAATCAGTTGAACGGCTGAATCTCTTTAAAAAGGAGTCGTATATAAGTCGGCGCTCGTGATTTGCGCGCCAATTTTTTCGGGGGTAGGATAAATGCTACCTCTTTTTGCCCACCTGGCAATTGCGCACCCTTTTTTTTGCGGGAAAAGGCCTTAGGAAAGGTCGTAGAGCTTCAAAAATGTTTCCATATAAGGGAATCGTATGCGTAGATTCCGAATTTCGACAAATCAAACCTTGCTGACACGTCAAATTTGGGCTAAAAGGCAAAAGACTGCGGAAAAGCGTTAAGTTGCGTAGTTTTTGCCTTTTAGCCCAAATTTGACGTGTCAGCGAGGTGTGATTTGTCGAAATTCGGAATCTACGCATACGATTCCCTTCTATGAATACATTTTTGAAGCTCTACGACCTTTCCTAAGGCCTTTTCCAGCACACAAAAAAGTCGCATTTGTTCCACCCCCGAAATTGAAGAAAATTGGGAAAAATTTGAATGAAAAATTATAAAACAAAGCAAGGAAAGGGTAAAAAATGAAGAAAATTGAAGAAAATTGAAGGAAATTGGGAAACTTTGAATGAAAAACTATAAAGTATAGCCAGGAAAGGGTAAAAAATGAAGAAAATTGGTGGAATTGACAAAAATTTGAATGAAAAACGATAAAACTGTTTAACAGCTTTAAAAGAAGATTTAAAAAATCAAAAATTAAACGAGAGGAGATGTTTATAAAAGTTGAATTGTTATTGAAAACGATTCAGGAGATTCTAGAGGTTTTCTAGAGACTCTCAAGCAAGTTAAGCGATATCAATGTGCGACAGTTTGATCAATATTCGGTCCAGCTGTAACAACAATGTCATCGAATGGCTTTGATTGCGTCAAATCGATTGCTTGCCATTTCTTTAGCACCAATAAAGTGTAGAATTTCTGAGCGGCCGTCTTCTTGTTTGAGGCTTTTGTGAGCAAATCGGAGAGAAGAATCTGGAAATTGATGAATGAAATTGATGAAATGAGCCTGTTGTTCGGCCTGAATGAAATGAGCCTGTTGTTTGGCCTGAATGAAATGAGCCTGTTGTTTGGCCTGAATGAAATGAGCCTGTTGTTCGGCCTGAATGAAATGAGCCTGTTGTTCGGCCTGAATGAAATGAGCCTGTTGTTTGGCCTGAATGAAATGAGCCTGTTGTTCGGCCTGAATGAAATGAGCCTGTTGTTTGGCCTGAATGAAATGAGCCTGTTGTTCGGCCTGAATGAAATGAGCCTGTTGTTTGGCCTGAATGAAATGAGCCTGTTGTTCGGCCTGAATGAAATGAGCCTGTTGTTCGGCCTGAATGAAATGAGCCTGTTGTTTGGCCTGAATGAAATGAGCCTGTTGTTCGGCCTGAATGAAATGAGCCTGTTGTTTGGCCTGAATGAAATGAGCCTGTTGTTCGGCCTGAATGAAATGAGCCTGTTGTTTGGCCTGAATGAAATGAGCCTGTTGTTCGGCCTGAATGAAATGAGCCTGTTGTTTGGCCTGAATGAAATGAGCCTGTTGTTCCGAATCCGGTCCGAATCCAAAACTAGCGTTCAATCTAAGCTAATTACCTGATTTCTTTTCACGCCTTTCAAGCCGACTATTAGGCCAGTTTTTGATCAATCTTTTTGATCAATCAGTTTTTGATCAATCCAGACAGCTTTCTGATTTCTATTCCTTCTTCAGTTCTCAAAAAAATTGGCCTCAAATCTCAAACTCATTTATAAAACGAATCTTTATGTTCTTTATGAAAGAACGGATTCTTTAGCACCAATAAAGTGTAGAATTTCTGAGCGGCCGTCTTCTTGTTCCGATCTTTATGCTATCCAAGTCTAAAACAAGCTATTAGGACAGTTTTTGATCAATCTTAGATCGGAACAAGTCTAAACAAGCCGACTATTAGGCCAGTTTGTTAGATTCAAGATTGCTACTGATTGCTACTACTTTAATGATAAAAGCTTACAAACCTATTTGTAAGCTTTTATCATTAAAGCTTTTATATAATTTTTGTTCAATTTTCAAGTAAGCTTTTGAGCTTTTGAGCAGTCTCAAAGCTTTTGAGCCTCAAAGCCTCAAAGCTCAACAGCTTTTGAGCCTCAGCAACAGCAGTCTCAAAGTAAAAGTCTTACGTAAACAAAAACAAACTTTTGACTCATGTAAACAAGTTTTATTTGTACTTTTCGATTAGATTGTTGTTTGGATGAAGATCAAAAAGAAAACAAGCATCGATCATCACCGGAAAAAATCGGCAAATCGTACAAATATATTGCTTGTAGATCGAGGGGAAACCCAATATTTGCCCGAACAACAAATGGATGGATGACTATTGGCTTTTCGAGTACAATATATTGTTGAGATTGAATGAAAGGGACCAAGAAATATAAAGGAATTCAGATTTATTGCTTTTCAAAAGTTTTAGCAGAGTACATGAGAAGATGAGCTTTCCCTGAATACTCTAGAACGGCACCCCATAATGAGAAGCGTACAATCGCGTAGTCTAACTTTAAACGAGCGATTCTCCGCACTGGTTTAAGCTACAGTTTTCCAAAGAGTGTCAAATGATAGGCCTTGAAATCTAGTATTTTTTGAGATGAAAAGTCTAGTTGGGAAAATCTAGGGGCTGAGAAAAAGATGATGGAACTGTGAGAAAGCTGATTTTCTTGATGATGGAACTGTGAGAAAGCTGATTTTCTTGATGATGGAACTGTGAGAAAGCAGTTAAACTGTACGAGGAGGCAGCGTTCTTTTAGAGGATTTACGGTCTTTTTTCTTAAATGGTTGCCGTGCTGGTATGGTCGAGTGGTTAGGAGTCTTGTATCCTAGTCAAGAGGGTTCGATCAGGGTCACGGATTCGATCCCAGCGGCTAGAAGATTTGGCTCTCCATACTGGATGTTTTTTTCCATATACATGGATCTCTCTGCCACATCTTTAGGAGAATTAGGGCAGTAGAGGTTATTGGCAAGGTTGTGGGCAAAGTTGTGGGCTTTAGGCAAGGCTGTCTCTTGTTTCCTAGTCAGGAGGGTTCGATCAGGGTCACGGGTTCGATCCCAGCGGCTAGATTTGGCTCTACATGGGTCTGCCACATCTTTAGGGGTATTAGGGCAGTAGAGGTGGGCAAAGTTGTGGGCTAGGCAAACTGTCTCTGACGCTAGATACGCTTTAGTGCTGTCTCTGGCTCTAGATAGGCTTTAGTTACTGCTGGAGGAAGTCTACTTGACGTAGAGAATTTATTGTCCTAAAGCTGACTCTATTCAAAAATACTATTCATTTTCTCTTTTACTAGGTGTTTTCATCAAAATACTCTCTCCTTTCCATATGGAGGCATTCCCGTGACCGGGAAATGAGCCATGCAATGATCAGCCGCTCGTTCTAGCCATTCAATGATCAGCCTCTCGTTCTAGCCATTCATTCTAGCCATTCTCTTAATCTTTCTCCATTTCTGAGAATCTAGAAAACGAGAGAAAAAGGAAGAGAAAGAATGTACTATAAAACTGTACTTTTGTACTATAAAATAGAGAAAGAATGATTACTTTTAACATCGATTTTTATGAAATCTATAAAATCAAATTTCTCCGATCAAATTTGACAATATTTGTCTGCAGTTAAATTAATATTTACAATTAAAAGCCAAAGCCAATAAGCCAAAGCTAATAAGCCAGAGCCAATAAGCCAAAGCCAATAAGCCAAAGCCAATAAGCCAAAGCCAATAAGCCAAAGCCAATAAGCCAAAGCTAATAAGCCAGAGCCAATAAGCCAAAGCCAATAAGCCAAAGCCAATAAGCCAAAGCCAATAAGCCAAAGCCAATAACTCTAGCCAACTCTAGCCAACTCAAACAACAAACCCCTGGATCAACACGAAGATTGATCAAAGATTCTGATACAATTTTCCTACCCGTTTCCCCCGTTTTCTATATGGATTGGGCACTTGAGTGGGTGAGACACTTGAAAACCTTTTTACATGCATTGCCCCCTTCATGGACATTTCCCCAGTCCTCAACCATCCTTTTTCCTCACTAAAGGGGCTCCTCATAAGACTTCGATGGATATCAAGGAGAGCTCTGGAATCTCCCTATTCAATATTCAAGAGCCTTCAAGAGATAAGGGCAATTTGGGGCTGGGTATGGTTGGATTAAAAGAAAATTAGCAAAAAAAAGAAATTGCAATTATAGTAGTTGTTTTTGAAAGCTTTTGAGCATCTGTTTAACGTCGTCGATTTGCCACTGTCTACTGTAGTTTACTGTAGCTGTATCTCAGGCTCATTGACTACAGTAATCCATCAGCTAGGCATCGATTCAGGCTTACTGTAGAGCTACTGTAGGGCCACAGTACGGTTGGGGATTACTGTAGGGCTATGGTAGGACTAGTGTAGAGGGCTACAGTACGGTTAGGATTACTGTAGGACTACTGTAGGGCTACGATAGGGCTGCGGTAGGGCTACAGTACGGTTAGGACTACTGTAGAGCTACTGTAGAGCTACAGTAAAGCTAGGACCACTGTAGGGCTACGATAGAGTTACGGTAGGGCTACAGTACGGTTAGGATTACTGTAGAGCTGCTGTAGGGCTACAGTACAGCTAGGACTACTGTAGGGCTACTGTAGGGCTACAGTACGGCTAGGATTCCTGAGAGCTACTGTCGGACCACTGTAGGGCTACTGTCAGACTACTGTAGGGCTACAGGACGGTTAGGACTACTGTAAGACTACTGTAGAGCTACTGTAGGACTACTGTAGGCCACAGTACGGTTGGGATCACTGTAAGACTACAGTCGGACTACTGTGAGGCTTCAGTACGGTTAGGATTACTGTAGGACTACTGTAGGGCTACAGTACAGCTAGGACTACTATAGGACTACGGTAGGCCTAAAATTGTACACCCAATGTGGATTTTGGATTACATTTTCCTTACTGTCTTCTGCCTACAAACTTTTCCGTTTTTCAAACGCATCACTTGTCTTGCTAATAAAATTCCGGGAGTTTTATCGCTGAATTGAGAGAAAACCGTTTGAAGGCATGGTTTATGTGACTGTGGGATGACCTTTAGAAAGGGGGAAAGGCTAGGTAAAGACAAGGTGAGACACCCCGGGAGATTGTGGAGGGAAAAGAGCGACGAACCGATTATGCAAATTGGTCACCACATCACGGTCAACTCTCTCAGCGCTTTATGCAAAAGAAAGAAAAAAAAAAGGCGATGCCTTAAATCCACAACGATCCACTCTTCTTTCTCGAAAATGTCTTATAGGTAAAAATGCGATAAAAAGAGGTTAAAGGGGAGAAGTTTTAAGGCTATTTGGATATTTGGGAAGTAGCAATAGGCAATAGCTACGTTGAGGCAATAGGGCATAGCTACGTTGAGGCAATAGGCAATAGCTACGTTGAGGCAATAGTTATGTTGAGGCAATAGCTACGTTGAGGCAATAGCTACGTTGAGGCAATAGGCAATAGCTACGTTGAGGCAATAGCTACGTTGAGGCAATAGCTATGTTGAGGCAATAGCTACGTTGAGGCAATAGCTATGTTGAGGCAATAGCTACGTTGAGGCAATAGCTACGTTGAGGCAATAGCTAAGTTGAGGCAATAGGCAATAGCTACGTTGAGGCAATAGGCAATAGCTACGTTGAGGCAATAGGCAATAGCTACGTTGAGGCAATAGGCAATAGCTACGTTGAGGCAATAGGCAATAGCTACGTTGAGGCAATAGGCAATAGCTACGTTGAGGCAATAGGCAATAGCTACGTTGAGGCAATAGCTAAGTTGAGGCAATAGGCAATAGCTACGTTGAGGCAATAGGCAATAGCTACGTTGAGGCAATAGCTGCGTTGAGGCAATAGCCAAATGGAGGCAACGGTCTACATGTGGTTAAAGTATTCAGGGAAAAAGAAAAAGAAGATTTTCTACTGTAGACTGTAGAGGGTTTAAGTTTTCCAATCTTTCAAAGCCAACAACGGGACAATCAAGCACTTTCATTTCAAAATTTCCACCTACAATACACCTTTAGCACAAGACGAAACATTTTTTTTCAATACTTAAGCAAGCAAGCAAACTTGTACTTAAAGTAAACTTCAATTTTTCCAACCTGATCATCGTTACTCGCGCGCAACTTTGTCGAGATTGAGTGGAGCACATTTTGAGTGCGTTTCGTGAATCGATGCTCCTCATCACCCTCTCCAGCCTCTTCTTCTGCCTGGAAAATATTTTGCTCAAAGATATTCAGCTATTGTAGGCTATTCAGCCACAAGTTAAAGCTTTTGTAATGCTTTATCTAAAAAAAACTGCTATGGAAATGGGTTTTCGGGCATTTGATCGACGCCCCGCCCCTTTGCCATTGGCAATCTAACTTTGAGCTCAAATTTCTTGGCGTTGAACTGTTCAATTTCAATGCTTTTGGTATCATTAGATTCACCAAGTCTTTCTCTATCGATTGGTATAAAAACTCTTTCAATTGAACAATCCAACACCAAGATATTTGAGGTTAAAGTTCGATTGCCAATGGCAAAGGGGCGGGGCGGTGGGAGACCTTTTATACGCGCCCCGCCCCTTTTCCCAATGGCATTGAACAGCTCAACACCAAGATATTTGAGGTTAAAGTTCGATTGCTGATGGGAAAGTGACGAGTTAGTTAGTTTAGGACTAGTTAGACTCAAATCTAAATCTTATTTACAGACTGGCTACAGTAGTCGAACTTTTTTTTCCCCCATAAAGCCACTCTACAGTAATACCCAAACACATAAAGTTCAATGATGGAGTGTGATAAGCTGTTTACACTGTTTACAGCTGTTTGCACAGCCATGCTTTCCCTTTTTTTTTTCCTTTTTTTCTTCGAATGTTTGCCAAAAGACACGCGCCGGTACAAAAATTTGGTAAAAAAAAACGATAATATTATTTCTCAAAATCGAAAAAGGGAAAGTTTTAGATGTTAAATAAATAAAATAAATAAAATAAATAAAAAAACCTCTTGTGCTTGTCGACTTTTTCGTTCCTTCTTCGATTTCGCGTCTTCTTTGTCGTCTTTCTTCTCCTCGAGACTCTGAAAAGGCAAATTTACAGCTAAAGTTGATAAATTTTGTAGATAAGCAAATGTATTTATGTAAAATTTATGAAATTATGGAAATATTATGTCAATTTTGTCAATTTAAGCAATTTAAAGCTATTTTGGATTAGTCGAGCTGTTGTATGACTACTTTGATTCAAAATTGATCACTTTACCGCTTCAAAAACTTCCAGAAACATTGGACTCTCTTTTTCTTCCTTTCTTTCTTCTTCCTTTCTTTCTTCTTCCTTTCTTTCTTCTTCCATGTCTTTCCTTCTCTTTTTCTTCCTTCCTGTCTTCTTTCTTCTTCCTTATCTCCCTGTCTTCTTCCTTCTTCCTTGTCTTTCTGTCTTCTTTCTTCTTCCTTTTCTTCCTTTTCTTCCTGTCTTCCTGTCTTCTTTCTTCTTTCCTATTTCTTTCTACGCAAAGAAGCGCCAGTAGCTCCGCGGCAAGCAGAAAAGCTGATAAGCAGAAGATCAACGGTTCAATTCCCCGTCAGCTCCAAAAACTTTGCCATCAATTCATTTCTTTACTTTATTAAGTCTAGCATAGCTTGTCTAGCTGTCTAGCATAGCTTTTATCTAAATCTAATCTAATAGCTTTTCTTAGTTTCTTATCGATGATGCGTTTTGTAAGCTATTTCCCATGTTAAACTCACCGAATCCGCCTCATCATTTCCTGGTTCAGGCATGGGGATCGGCTCATCGAACATATCATCGATTCCACCCACATCAAAGTCATCAACATCAGGCTGAAAATTCGTATTAGCTGAAATGAAAGCTGAAAGCTTCTTTATGATTTTGCATAGTAAACAATTGAAAAGCTTTTAGATCATTTTTGAGAGTACCGTATTTGTTTTTATTGTTCTAATTGTTGTTGTTGTTCTTTGTATTGTTCTAATTAGAGTGTGTCCCTCTCAAGTAATAGCGCAAAATAGGAAACGATCTCGTTTTCTAAAACGTGGATCAGAAGCGTTCTTGCGCATTAATCGAAAATCCATGAAATCAAAAACGGATCCGTTTCTTATTTTGCACTATTCCTTGAGAGGAACACACTCTAGTTCTAATAGAATGACCATGGTCTTCCATTTTTCAACCTCCAAAAATCGGCCGGTCAAAAAAAGTGGGTAAAGTAGGTACCGTCAATACTGTAATAGAGTACCGTATTTGTTTGTATTTTTCTAATAGAACCTCCCTTGTACAGTCTAGAACCCCCCTCGTACAGTCGCGTAGTCGCAAAAGTTTTTTAGTATTTCATTTGTTTTCAAAGCGCCCGTACTTTCAAAAAATGCGTCTTTGGTATCAAAAAATAGCTGAAATTCAGGGCTATTTTTTGATACCTAAGCGCGCATTGTAGCATAAACCAGTGTCGAGAAACACTCGTTCAAAGCTAGACTACGCAACACTCCGCACCGTCATTTATGACAGTGTTTACGGTAGGTAAAGTTTTGTAGTTTTTGTAAAGAAAAAAGTAGATAAACTAGTCGCCCAAATGAAACAAAAATGTCAAAAAATTGTTAAAAACTATTTTAAACGATAGTCTTTGGTCTAAAAGATGTCAAAAAAACGTGTTTAAAAGTAAAATTAGCCCATAGAAAATCTCTCAAAAAAAAATCCATGTGGGGGACCACATGAAATTTTTTTCTAAAAAATTATTTTCTATTTTTTTTCAAAATTTACGTTTCCAATTACTGTCAAAGCTAAAATACAACGATCCAAAGCTAAAATAAGGATCTGGAGCTAAAATACAACGATCCAGGACCGAAATACAACGATCCAAAGCTAAAATAAGGATCTGGAGCTAAAACACAACGATCCAAGACTAAAATACAACGATCCAAAGCTAAAATAAGGATCTGGAGCTAAAATACAACGATCCAGGACTAAAATACAACGATCCAAAGCTAAAATACAACGATCTGAAGTCATATCTAAAACTTTAGCTTAAAAGAAGTCCTGAAAAGCTCTGAAAAGTCCTGAAAAGTCTCGATTTTGGGTGGTCTTCTTCAGTAGGTTTAACTTTTTCCATGTTAGGCAGTAATTCTTGGCTGCTAAAGATGGCTCTTGGCAATCTTCAAACTAACTTCTTTAGCACAAGAACAAACTTCTTTTTGTCGATACACTGTAACTTTTTTTTTTGGATTCTCTCGGCTCTCTGAAAAGTGGGCCAAGAGGTGAGGATTGTGAGGTCAAGAGGGAGAGACGAGACTTCTCTTTCCCCACCAAAACAAACCCGATTCACTCACCGGATTTCGACTTTTCAATGAGGAAATGCTTTGAAGGGGATGGACTTAAAATAAAACAAGAACAGAATTCTCAAGTATCTTTTGATATTTTATGATATTTATGATATTGCTTTGCTTTGCGTTGCTTGAACCTGAAGAATTACCGTTCAGAGTTGAGCAGCTAGTTGAGCAGCTAGTTGAGCAGCTAGTTGAGCAGCTAGTTGAGCAGCTAGTTGCCCAGCCAGTTGCCCAGCCAATTGCCCAGCCAGTTGCCCAGCTAGTTGCCCAGCCAGTTGCCCAGCTAGTTGCCCAGCCAATTGCCCAGCCAGTTGCCCAGCCAGTTGCCCAGCCAATTGCCCAGCCAGTTGCCCAACCAGTTGCCCAGCCAGTTGACCAGCCAGTTCCCCAGCCAATTCCCCAGCTAGTTCCCCAGCCAGTTCCCCAGCAGGATATTTGACCAGCCACTTCACGTACTTATGCACATGAAGTAATCCAACCAAATAGATCCATGTTTGGTCAATATTTAGTAAGAACTTGTTTGCGCCTACTTGCCCAGCTAGTTCTTTGCGCCTACTTAGGATATAAGTCTAGGACTTGCACCTATCTGGCTGGTAATCAAATGGGTAAATATTTGAAATGGAATTGGGTTACCGCAAAAAAAAAAGATTGATGCGGGTAAAAAGAAAGGTTTTAAAATATTTTAGCAAAAAATATAGCAATTTAAATCTTTAATCTATGTTTAAAGATGTAAACAATCTTGTTAAAAGGCCAAAGATCGAGTCAATCTTCATTCCAAGGTCATTTACTTTATTTGTTTTAGGCCGAGATGTCGAAAAAACTAGGGAAAAGACGCGTGACCATCATTACCGTATTCAAGATTTATAGGATTTATAGAAAAAAAGAATCTTAGCCATTTTCCCAGTCTTTCTTTCTTCTTTCTTTCTGCCTTTCTTTCTTTCTTTCTTCTTTCTTTCTTAGCGATGATCACATAATTATGATGGAGGACGATTGACGGGAACAAGAAATTCTGAGGATCAAAGGGAATTCAATGAAAAAAAAAAGATTGAAAAAGAGGCGATCATCACGGTCATCTTTCATGATCGACCTTTCCCATCGGCAAGGTGCCAGCCGGATGGGAATTTAATGAAATTCTGATTTGGATTTGATGGGGATTTGATTTAAATTCATGTATTCCTGAATACTTGAAAGATACTATAATAAAATTTATTTCAGCTGGTATTTGTAGCTGAGTAGATCAGACATCTGTACACAAATAAGTGCCTAGTTAGAGTTCTAGTTCTAGTTCTAGCTCTAGCTTTAGCTGCAACTCTAGCTTTACTTCTGCAGCTCTAGCTTTAGCTGCAACTCTAGCTTTACTTCTGCAGCTCTAGCTCTAGCTGCAGCTCTAGCTCTAGTTCTGCAGCTCTAGCTCTAGCTGCAGCTTTAGCTCTAGCTCTATTTCTAGCTCTAGTTCTATTTCTAGCTCTAGCTCTAGCTCTAGCTCTAGCTCTAGCTCTAGCTCTAGCTCTAGCTCTAGCTCTAGTTCTGCAACTCTAGCTCTCCTTCTGCAACTCTAGCTCTAGTTTTATCCATTCCCAGATTTAGGTAAAGGTAATTAGTTACTTGTAAAACACCAAGCTATTTGCAAAAACCACAAATTGTCGCAATTGAATAATTTGCAGAGTTGAATCAATTGGTTCGATCTATTGGTTTCTAAAAATAAACTAACGCGAGTTTTCAGTGTTTCTTAAAGAGCAATCTGTAGATAAATAATAGAAGTTGCTGATAAAATAAGCTCTAAATCGATTGGTTCATTATTTCTCTTGAAAAGTAGACTTTAAAAAAAGCGGACAAGTCTTTCCAGTGAACCCAATAGTAAGCCAATCTAAGCCAATAGCCAATCTAAGCCAATAGCCAATCTAAGCCAATAGCCAATCTAAGCCAATAGCCAACCTAAGCCAATAGCCAATCTAAAAAGCAATAAGGCTTATGCAAGCAATAGGCTTATGCCTTCGTCTGTACCAATTCTTGAATCTTGACTCTTCAATTCATGACTCTTCAATTCTTGACTCTTCAATTCTGCAAGCAAGTAGACCACTCACTCAAAAACAACTCATCCAACTAGTTCTATTTTGATCAACGAATTTCTCTTGTTGCTGAGAATCACTGTTGGATCAGTGAAAAGCATTGAGGCGAGACATCCGTCTTAATCTCTTGAATCGAATGCACTCAACTAAAACTAAACCAAATCGGGGACGATTTTTCGGGTGGAAAAGTTAAACAGGGACTACAAATAAAGAGATTTTGAGTTGGTTTATTTATTATTCTATCAGCAATCTTATTGGATTGCTGGTCTACTGGTCTTATTAGATTTGTTAAGTACTTTAATGACGATCATCCAACTTTTCTAGTCGATCTATTGCTTAATTAAAAGAATTTTTAAACGCAAAATTGAATCTAGATTTTAAAAAGCAAATAGCTAAGAAAAAAGTTGGAATTTGAAAGAAGTTATTCAGTGAAAATTGCAAATTTTAAGGTGAAAGTCGTAAATTTTACGAGATTTTACGTGATTTTACGAGATTTTACGAGATTTTGCTTGATTTGGCTTGATTTTACGAAATTTTACTAGAAAAACAAAAGCCTGAGCAAAATCGAGAGCATACTGTACAATACTGGCTTACTGTAACCCTTGTCTGACTATCGTTGATCGATGAGCTTTGTTTACAATGCTGAAACTCGAATTGCTCGAATTTGTCGAATGAAAAGAATGCTAGGAGAATTTCATCTATTCAGCCGGCAAAAATGGGAATTTGTCTCCACACGCTAATCAACTAATCAACTAGTTCATACAGTACTCACAAATTCCCAATTTTGCCGGTTGACCGACCCAACACTGACTCTAGGGGTTACCTGGGAAAGTCTCGACACGGTAATCAACTTCAACAGTACTCACAAAATCCCAATTTTGCCGGTTGACCGACTCGACGCTCACTGTGCATCAAATTATAGGGGTTAACTGGGACAGTCTCGACACGGTAATCAACTAGTCTAATTACAAAAAAGGTCAACATTTTCCTGTTTATTGACTTTGATGGTTATCTAGGGATTTATCTAGGGATTTATCTAGGGATTTACACGTTTTCCCATCACAAATACAATGATTTCTGCCTAATTTTGAATCTAATCCGTTACCAAGACCTAAAACCAGTTACGAAAATAGCAAGGGGTTTTGTAAAAATGAAATCTAAAGTTGTGGGAAAGTTTTCAAAACTTTTCTAACTATATTATAGTCAGACAAGGGTTACAGTATGCTAGTATTGTATAGTATTGTAGTAGAGTGACTACAGTAATCTGATTATTGTATTACACTAGGATTCCCAAGGGATTTGTAAAGAGGTTAAAGTGTTGCGGGGGTTTTAAAAGCTATGCTACTCGTTTAATCTATGCTACTTGGAAGGAGAAGGCATGGAATCATTATAGTTTGACTTTGACTTTGACTCTGACTTTGACTTTGACTCTGACTTTGA